AAAAAAAAATCAAATAAATTAAAAATGCAGCAGCAAAAACCAGGCCATAAAACCAACACAACTTTTGGATTTTTAAAGGGAAAATAAAGAAGTTTTCCTGCATTTCCCTGTGAGGAATTCTTGGATTTTAAACTCTCAAATTTCCTTAAAATAAATTTCTCTGCTGCTTCATTTGTGCCTTGAATTCCTTGGATGATTCATTTCCTGTTTATCAGGTGGCAAAGAAGGAAAAGCAGCAGGAATTTCACATTTTAACCCTTTTTTGGCCATTTTTATCAATTTTTTCTCATCAAAAATCAACCCTAAACCAAGGGAAGCTGCTCCTTTCCCTCTTGAATAAAACAGGAATAATTAAAATAAATTTAATTTAATTTTTTTGTATTTCTGAGCTCAACCTCAAAGCCTGGCAGCAATTTCCTGTGAAAATTTCCTTATTCTTCTCCCTCATGGGAATCTTTTCTTAAATACAAAAAAAAATTTCGATTTTTTCAAAAAAAAATTCGATTTTCACATTGAAAAATGTTATTAAAGCTGGGAAATGACAGCACCAGGCAGTTTTAAATGGAAAATTCTTCCTGCTCTGCCTCAGCTGTGCCCAAATTCAACCCTAAAATCCTTTCTTTTATTTATTTCTATTTTTTACAGCTGTAATTTATTTAGGAAATGCAACCTTGAGTGCAATTCTGGGATTAACCCGAGGCTTTGATCCCTTTAACAACAACAATAAATTTTCTTTTTGGTGTTTCCATAACAAAAATCGACCTCAGAAACAGAACCTTTAAAAAATAAGAAAAACACCGCAAAAGTTCACAGAATCGCGTTGTTTTAACAACCTCCAAGAGCAATAACCTTTAAAAAATAAGGGAAAAACCAGCAAAAATTGGCGGATTCGCGTAGTTTTTAACAACCTCCGGAGGAACTGAGCCCGGCTGCATCAGAGTTACTCAGCTCCTGAAGTTCCTTTAGGGAATTACGTTAGAAATGCCCCTCGGACGCGTTGCTACAACAGGAAAAAAGGAGTTTTGATGTGAAAAAATGAGGAGATTTAGGAAATATTTGAGCTGGGATCGCCGGTTTGCAGAGGGGACAGCGCTGAGGGAAGGCCTCGGGCCCGCAGCTCCCCCTCCCCAAAACCCGGGGGAGCAAACCCGCCTCGCCTGGCTTTATTCCCACATCATCCCGGTTTTATTCCCACATCATCCCGGTGTTATTCCCACATCATCCCGGTTTTATTTCCTCTTAATTCCGC